TATATATATATATATAGTGAATCGTAAACAAGGAAGTGTTTTTACTTCATGACCTGACCAAGATGACATGAACTGAACACAGGTTCGGACCAAACTTTGCTTGTTCGGATGTTTGTCTAAATGCCAACCATCATATATTATACCAGTATTTCTACTGCTATTAGCTAGTATTTCTACCTGCTGTCAATGGTTGCTTGTACTCGCCACATCCTTAGCAACCCCCGACATCACCCGGCCCATTAACTTACAAGGCCGGGAACCCCTGGCCCCATATGCAAAGGGATAGGGATAGTGATATCGTTGCTAAAATATGGTCATGGCCATATTAACTAAATTATGTCACCACTATTCTTGCCCGTTCCTTTATAATACAGATGATAGCATGGTGATCGTGATTGGTGAAAATTTGCATTGCTGGATGATATAATTCAAGATAGATGTGCAACATGGGATTTGTATTTATTTATAGGACTCGTAAAACGTGTGGGTGTCGTTATTCACTGCTTACTTCTTTGTAAATGACTAAGGGTACTATTTATCCCTTACACATTTACATAGGGGAGGCAGCATCTACCAAATTCCACTTAGCCCCCAACCCACAGATCACCCACAACAACTAGACCAGGGTTGTGTAGAAAAGGTCCTTGTCCTCATCAACATGGGTCAACATGGGTCTTCCCTGGTAAAGCACCCCCCCATTTTGAGGGCATGTGGCCGGGTATGGTTCAGGAGGGGGGCTGTCATGAGTGCTTGGATAAGGGTCTGGTGATTAATTTGGGGGGGAAACCCATGTAATCTTTTTTGCTGCATGGGTTTCCTCTTAAAATTCATACCAGACCTGAAGGGCCTGAAATGGAATTTGGAGGGACCCTACAACTTTTTTGGGGGAGTGGGGTCCCCCTTAACATCTTTATCAGACCCTCATATAAGATAGGGTCTGCTATAGATGAAGGGAATTCCCACCCACTTTGTTTACAAACAGAATTTAAACAGCATTTTTTTTCTTTGGAAATGTCAGTTTTGCTGCAGTAGGTTGTATACATTGTACAGGTGCACCACTTCACAGGCAGGTTCAGGGCATCCCCAAGCATGTTATTTAAAGGAATTGTGCATTCAAGCATTTTTAAAATCACTGCTCCCAGCCAAATAATAATCACAACACATTTCTCAGTTTTGCAGTCATCCAGCACTGACTTTTTTTGCAGCTCTATGCATTCAGTCTCATAATATCGTAGAGTTGCATGGGAAGTTGATAATGGATGATTGCAGGTAGCTACGTAATGGCCAGCAGTTGTCACTGTCTGACAGCTGCTGGCCATTTGCCATTCATGTGAAGTGGATATTAAGAACATCTTTTTACATGGATGATACAATATGAGTTTGTGGGAGTTCAGCGGTTCTTCAACGAGTGGATAAACCTTTTTAACTAGTGGATGACTGCAGACTAACCCAGGATCTGGATTATATCAATTTTTTTGCTCATGTTTATACAGTTGTGCAACTACAACCATAATGCGAGTTGAGTTTTGTAGATGGCACTTATCATATGTATAAGATCTCTTTTTTTGTTATTCCTAGCAGCTAGCATTGATGGTGCATGATTTAGCCATCTTATACTATTTTAAGATTGCTTTTGTGGCTATGTTATATGAATGATAAAGGCACACTTTAAAATTTTTTCAACAAATAGGAACTATGGTAGTCACACAAAGAGGGTTAAAAGACAAAAAGAAATATAAACAACCTGCATCCTCAGAACTCTAAATACACAGTTAATCCAGAGGAGTGCAAAAAAGCCCTTATAAAGCATGGTCTAATTTGCTCCAGAAGTTTAAAAAAAAATCTTTCCTGATCCGCTAGGGTATCAGATACTCTTCGGATCAACAATCTACAGAGTTATTTCTTATAAATATTAATATATTAATTATATTTTGTGCAAATTTTTTTTTCAAAATCCAGTCTTTTTAATCAGTTGGCTAGATCTCCTGAGAAAGTCTATTTCTCATCATAAAGAAGCCTCTTCAAATGCTCTGGTTAAACCTGTTTTCCTCCAGGCTTAAATAGTGCCTTCTTGTCATTTCCAATGATGTTCACACCATGTCCAGACCAGATTTGGAGCAGCTCTGCAAACGCACTGCAGTGTGTTTTGCAACATTGTACTGCTTTCAGGTGCAGTCCAGTGTGTTCCAGTGTTTTCCCATGTGTTTTTATGCATTTCCATGTGTTCCAGTGCATTCCAGACCAGAGAAAATGAGACAAGCCCAGAAATACCATAGACAAGCCCATTGGAATGCTTTTTTGGTCCGAGAAAAAAACGTTCTGGTCTCAACATGGCCCCGACATGGTAAGAACAAGCCCTAAATGTTAAGAACATTTCAGGAAACAAGTAAGAAAAAGGTGATCCCTGGAAACTAAATTCTTACACTCCCCCCCCCCCCCAAAAAAAAAGTGGGATGGTCTGGTGCACTACAGCTCTGCCAGGATAAGAAGCAAATTTCACAGGTAATTAACAGTAATGACCTGTGAAATTTTACTACTGGGAATCTACGGACCTAAGTTATCATTTGCCAAATTTAGGAAAGCTATTATTTTTTTGCCCTGCAGCCACCAGTCGGATCACAGCATGCACTGGAAAGCAACCTTTACAAAGTGAAAGCTTGAATCTGATTGGTGGCTGTGGGTGTCATTTTAACTTATAAATAAAGATAAATAAGGCCAGGCGATCACATCTTTATTCAGTCTATTCTTTCCTTTGTTAGATATTGGACTTCTTCCTAAAGTGACAAAGAAAGCTAAGAAAAACTAAATCACATTCTCTGTTTTCGCCTTACTGCGACTGCTAGAAAAATACAACAGTAATTGATGTACACTCGCACTTCATAAAGTTTCAGTTTTTTAACAGATAATGTAGCAGGTGTCTATCCCCAAGTGGGTACTATTAACACTCATAAAACCAGAGTCTCAGGACAGAAAACAAAATAAAATCATATGTCAATTTAATGCTTAGCAAACAGTCTCCAACTGATGGTGAGGAGGTATTTTTTCCCTACAACTAATGAAATATAAATATGTATATCAATTCAGTCTTTATCTATGTTAACAATTATTACTCTCAACATAGCATGAGAAATATTCACAAAATTGTGAGGACATTTGCTTTTGCCAATCCCAATCTATTACTGTGAAACTAAAACATATCCACAGTTCAGTTTAGACAAGAAAGTATATATAATTGTTTAAAGGGACAGTCCACCCAATATTAATATTTTTGTTATAAGAATCTTTTGGGCTTTGTCACCTGCTGTCTACTTATTAATCTTGGGAACTCTAATAGTAAGCTCTTTGTCATATTTTCTGGCTGTGTTTTACCCACTTTTGAGGTTTGGGTGTTCCTGCTTATCCTGGTGGGTTTCCACTCCTCTTGCTGCATTCTCCATTATTTAACGTAAAAGTTCAACTAAAAGCGTTAATAATTGTGCAGAAATTGTATCACCAAAGTCCCTGAGAGACAGAACAAGGTGGTTTAATAAGCATTTACCAAAGAATAAAATATCAATTGTAAGTGGTCTGACCGTTAACCACCTCCTGTCCATGGCTGTGCCTGAACGACCGGACGCAAGCCTTATAGGAGCAGGAGGGAGTCTTAAGACTTCCTGCCCCTCCCTCCGCTCGTGTGCGGCGCTCAGCGCACACACGAGTGGGAAAACTGTTAGAAATGTAAACAGCCAGCGATAGCTGTTTACATTCAAGCGATCAGGCGTCTCTGGGGTGTGCGCCCCCAGTACCGATCTCTGCTTCATAAGCTTCTCTGGGGGTCCCCTGATGTCTCCATGGAGAGGACCAGTTATTTGAATTGGCAATCACATAGGGGTTTCTTACCCCCCCATGTGATAGCAATAAAGTTAAGTGTAAAAAAAAGTTAAACAAAAGTAAAGCATAAAGAAACTTAAAAAAATAGTGACAAATATAACAATGTTAAAATAACACAAAATCTTTTTGAAGTCCCCCCCCCCACATACACACGCAAACATCTGTCGGGTGCGCCTATGTGCGAAAATGACGATTGCGCCCATTACATTGCACATGTTACATATCGCCAGAAATGTTGGTGTAAGAGCAATAATTTTAGGGCCATTAATTACTGATAACACTAAACCGATGAGCGGTAAAAGCGTTTGAAGAGTCGCCTATGGCCAATTTTGGGTGTGGTCGTTTTCTGCGATTTCGCAATTTTATGGCTTGACATGTTTGGTGTCTATTTACACGACATGACCCCGTGTTCTATATTTTACCAAAAAATTGGGGTAACAATACATGTTTCATAACATTTCATAGGGAAACAGATTTTTTTCCAAATTTAGGGTACTTTTTTGTTATATAGTAAAAAATAAAGAAGAAGAAAGCTCTATCTGTCCTCAAAAATTTGTATAAAATTAGTTTCAGTACAACGTTGCATTACGGAATAAACGTCAGTCAAAGTACTGCAGCGCTCAATACTGAAAAATGGCCTGGGCAGGAAGGGGGTTTAACACCCTGGTCTTCAAGTGGTTAAATACATTACCAATAGTCACATTACATAAATTCTATTGTGTAGTAGAATGATATATTTCTTACCCGGCTGATGTCCATCCCTGAGTCACAGCTTAAGGGTTGAGTTGAGGTTAAACCATTGAGTCCTATAACTGTTGAAATTATGCCTCTGTCATCAATCTTCCGAATCATGGTACCATCCACAAAATAAATGAACCCATGTGCATCAACAGTTATACCTGGGGAAGATGAAGATCACAATCAATGTATTAAATTTATTGTCACAAGGCATAGTTGTCAGTAAGAATAGCTTACCATTATAGCACCATTATACAGTAGAGACATGGGAAACTACAGCCCAGCTAGCTATGTGTCTTTTTGTTTACAATACTGTTTTTACTGGTCCATCATGCTTATGCAAGTATTGAAATGGTGCTTACACTGCCACAGACCTGTTCAGTTTTTCAAATGACATAGTGAAGCCAGCATTTTAAGAAACATTGCCTATGAGAAAAAGGGCACAATTTAACATCCCATAATAATCAGTTAGTCTTCAAAATTTAGTAAGCTAGCTTTAGTAAAATGAAATATGTAATGGTTTTGGGTTTCTGTACTTTGCACTACACCTTTGCACTTTGCTTTGTCTTACTGAACAAGCTTGATTTATTGGGTACATTGCGATCATACACAGGGCTGTATTCAGACATTGTGCTGCCCTAGGCAGCCCTTTTGTGCACCTTGCATCACTGTTAGGCCTCTTCCGCACGTGTTTTAACCCCTTCATGACTGAGGCCCTTTTTTCATTTTTTGCACCCATGTTATATTCCACATTTTAGGCCTGAAAATGACGTAAAACCCCCCAACATTATATATTTTCTGAATGCCAAGACCCTATAGAATAAAATGGTGGTAGTTGAAAATTTTTATGTTGCGCAATATTAGCGCAACTCCTTATTAAAACATTAGGAAAGCATTTGTAATGCCTCTCTGCCGCCTGTTAACGCTCATGCAATATAAAGCATAAAGCAATAGCAACAGCCCAGCGCTGTTCACACATGGGCGTTAGCGTTGTGTAGCTGTGTGTCAAAAAATAGAGTGCATGACGCATTCTGGAGGCATTGCAGCTGGAATAATGCCTCCATTGAAGTATATTAAAACACCATGTTGCCTCATTCTGAAATTATTCACCAAACAAGAGAAAGGAGAGATGGTTTCAAGTTTATTGAACTTTGAAGAGCCTTCTGATTCCTCTCATCATTCCTAGTAACTACTTCCCCCTAACATTCTCCGGCTCAATGTATCCACAAATTTCCAGAGATGGGAAGCAAAGGGCCTCAGTACAGGGAAAATATATTTCAATAAATAAATTCTGAGGCTTACTGCTGTCATCTCTAACCCTGGTGTCCTAGACACTGGCCCACGTGTGCCATTATGGAAAACACAACACTGGTTATACAGTTCTGCCGTGGCAATGGTTACATTTTGAACATTTTTATAGAAGTAATAATTTAACCAGACCCTTATTCAGGCATGTAGCCTGTACAGTCCCTGTACTATACCAGGCCACATGCCTTTTAACATTGATGTGGTACCTAAGCCTTTCCCCTTGCATGGCATCCTGTCACAATGTTGAGGGACAAGAGACTCTTCCCCACAACTTATCCCTCAAAAATAATGTAGGGGTTCGTTGGGGGGGGCTTATTTAGGAAGTTATTACTCATTCCCAGAAGAGTAAACTGTAAATAAACACGCTAACACTGTGATAAATTCCTTTAATAACAAAATGTCACTAATGTCCCCCAACATGCATTGTCAATCACATCATTCAGCAATGTAAATCCATTGGTAATCATGGCATTCAGCAATTGAAATCATGTCTGGGATCCTGGGTGATGGCATTGACCATATATGGTCACAAGCAAATATGGTCAATTAGGTCATCCAGACTGGGGATCTGTTATTTAGCAATGGGATTGTAGAAGGTTAACATTATCATTGGTCATAACCATATTTGGTGAGGGACCTCACGCAGGAACCCTGGCTATTTGTTTACATTTCAGCAGGTGATGATTTGAACAGGCAAACTGGCCAATTTTGAGCAGTTTGCTTGGCAGTCCGGCAAAGCATGAACAGGCTGGGTTTGCCTCAAACTCATGTTCGAGCTGAACCCAAACCTATCCCTAGTGCTAAACTAAAGCAAGAGGCAGCAATTATTTTCTATGGCCAGCAAAGCACATGTGTGTTTTTATGTTATAGGACAGAATGTAGGTTTGAGGGTTAAAGAAGCACTATGCCTTTAAATGCATACAATATATTTGTCTCACATCCCTCAGAGTTCTCAAAATCCCTCAGAGTTCTTTCATTAATATAATTTGCTCTACATTTTCAGGAGCTGTTCCCACTTACAAGCTATAAAAGTCAAATTTGTACAGTTAATAGTGAATGTATCTGCCACACTACAAGCTTTGTATTCATGACATATTACTTTCAGAATGTAGATAGTTTTAAATAATGACAAGATGATCTCTAGAGTTCCCTCTAAATAGTGTATATGTCAAGGCATAAACAGACTTAATGCTTAGCATGTTAAATGTTGGCATCAACAAGAGAAGGATTAGAAATGTGCTTTACTGTTTAATAGTTTTTTGTTTATCATCTATGGACACATGCTGTCCCCCAACCTAAATTCCTAATACTCTGTCAAGGTTTCTTACCCTTCCTTGTCCAGTTGCTTGCAGCATGACTTGTGTAGTGTTTCTGGCACCATTGTTCCTCTTTGGCTCCCTCTTATGCTCAAACCAGTTAACATCATCATTCTGCTACTACTGTCAAAACTTCTGCCAAAGTCCTGCCTCAGAGTGATGATGCAAACACCAGCTCACTATATAACCATCAGCTTGTCCATTCAGTCTCCGCCCTTGCGTTTGTTCTGATCAACCAAATGCGCTGCTGTAGTTCCTCTTCTCCGTGTATGACCCTGGCTCTGACAAATCTCTTGGTTCCTGGCTCTAGCTAGTTTCCGTTTATCCTGCTCTCAGTGCTCCCTGACCTGGTTCGGCCGACTACCCGCTGTAGCTTCTGACCTCTGGCTTGGCACTGACAATGTCCTGGACTTTCTCCTTTGTTTTTGCATTTATGTTTATTGTTATTTTTAATAAACTCTTTTTATATTTTAAACATGCACTTTAACTTTCTGTCTGGTTTCTTGGTTCCCTGACATACTGTCATAGCAGTACATGCAGATCAGTAATGGGCCACACACAAGCTATGCTCAAATGGTGACCCAGAGGTCACATAGAGAACTCAGCTGCAACCTTGGAACTTAAAGTAAATAAGCAATGGTGATGAAGAGATGAGTAGACCCTTCAAGTAGACATTGCATTACACATATTTCAGAGTATCACTGCTGGTGTATTTATCACATGTGAAGCTATATACTGTTATTAAAGACTTCTAGGAATTTGTAATACATGGCAATGTATTATCCCTTTATCTGTGCAGCAGGGTTGCTCCCACTGAGCTCTACCAGTGACACATACTGCGATGTATGTGTTAGGAGGACTCCCACAAGATAACACATAAACAACAGTTGTTTCTCTTTTCACACTCCAATCTCAGTGGATTCTTCTACATCTACTCTCAATAAAAAAACAGAAATCTTTTTGAAAACTGCACAAATAATGAAAGACAGAGGCTTTCATTATTAATGCAGTTTATTTATTTTCAAAAAAATCCCAAATCTAGGGTTATCATCAGTGCAGGAACAGATAGTAATCTTCAAATGGGGACACTAGTTCTGGTTACCCTGCTGACTACCAGGGATTTCCCTCACTTTAGAGAGATTTTCTCTCACTTCCTGCTGTGGACATTGGACAGGAAGTGAAGAGAAATCTCCCTAATGGGACACATATTTTCTCTAGGGAGCTAAAATAAGACCTGGCTGGCTGCTGGTCCAGCCCCTGCAGTCTTGCTCCCCCTTCACTCCGGTCCTGTGAGTCATCTTGTCAAATACAGTGTACAGAGCAAGGCTGAAGTGAGATCGTGTATGCATATAATTGGGAGCATTCCATACTGATAACATCATTGGTGGGGATGCATAGGATCCTTGGCTCTGCTCTCATGGGGACAACAGACATCATCTAGTAATACAATGGAGAGTTGTAGTAATTAAGCTGTATTTGACCATTTCTAACTTATAGTCCATCCTTTATGGTGAGTGTGGTTTAAAGGATCAGCACATGTGGCACATATGGAGGGGCAAAGTTCACTTCACTTGAAGCACTTTAGTAATTGAGCACATCTGCTGGACTTTTTGGATGTATCGTAAGGAGCACATTAAGATTCTCATGAAATGTGGGATATTTGAGGATTTATATTGGTTTTCACATCATACACATTATGAATAGTGTACAGGAGCACTTTATCCTATGGGCAAAACCATCTTTTATATTTAAATAGTTTACAAGAGCACTTTATTTATTGAAATATCTATGATATATTGCTTGTTTTATATAGTATATCATTTTATGTGGTATATCATTTTTGTTTTTTAGTTTATTTATTGAGCGCTGTGAACTTTTGTATAACATTTTATGGTGTTTCATTCACTTTGGCAACCACGACACAGTTATAAGAACTGGATTTTAAATATTTTTTTTTTACATTTTCCTTGCACATAATTGGGTATTCTTTGCAAAGTGAAATGACACCACATTCACATTCAAGGTAAGAGAAACGTTTCCTGCAATGTGCGAATTCCCTTACAAAATGAACAGCTTATTTGCCTTTAGTAAATCAACCGCATTGTGTCTAAAATTAGCATACCCTCAGTAAATGCTGATTACTTCAAGTGTGTTAAATTAATTTTTTTAGGTGCAATAAGTTTGTTACACATGCAATAACGTTGTTGATGCCAAGAATTTGGGTGTTGAAATTTCTGGCGCTGAAAACAGAAAAGCCAATTTTTTGAGATACTAATGTACCAAGCATAGTCTTCAAATAGATGCAGCCTATGCTATGTGACAAGTTTGTTCCCTTCTCCACAGTGAATGAAACAGTCAGCAACCGATCACACTAAGATTATCCATCATGCTGGGAAAAGTCTACCCAAGAAGACAAGCGCTTCTGACACTTAAAAGCAATCATTATAACTGGTGTTAGCCCATACATGACTGATTATAACAACCACCTCTCAAATCTGTCACGTTATTTGAATTTATTAAGCCACCCTTGCTTACCA